TTCTAAGAAATCTTTCCCAACAGTCAATACAATTTCTGAATTTCAAATTTTCCTTTTTATATACTTACCTATTACAGAATGTTAAACTTTGATCAAGTACACCTTTTCTTATTCTTATATGATTAAATTGGACACGTGTCCTAACTGCCAACGAGGGTAGTTAATCACCTCAGCAGAATTAAATTAGTTAGAAAGTAGGTCACGTGGGATTAAGCGACCCAAAAACTTAACGAAATATTTTGAGTTTTCAGGCTTAAGCAAGTGTTTCCTTGCAACAAAACCTTGTAACAAAAACAGGGATAAGTCAATAAATTTTGCGAGGTTGTTATACTCGCGTTTACTGCCACCTAGATGCTACAGGTCAGGGATAAAAGCTTTTATATGTTCGAAATTTTAGTTTTATTATAGGAAAAATAAAACTTTATATAGGTATTTAGGTGTGGTAGTGGAAGTTGGAAATCCAGTAAAGGCTGACAATCACTAGTGAATGTCGTATTTTAATAGTTATTCATGTTTCAAGGGAATTATATGGGGGAATTATAAGGAATTATAAATTATTATAATATTATAGAGGGCAATGTTTCTTTCTTGGACAATAATTGCCCGAGGTTATTAACACTTTTTAATTCATGTGGTACATAGATAATTTTATTTCTTACTGAATTTAGTATCATCATCATCATGTCCAGCTTATTCATCCATTTCCAATAATGGTGTAGCCTCCCTTATACAGGGTGTCCCAGAAATGAGTGCAGATATTTTAAGGGGTGGTAGATCTGGTCAAAATAAACATATTTTCTCTCTACCATTTTTAAAATAAATTGAAAATAACCGAGTTATTTAACTTTGAAAATTTAAAAAAATAATCGCAACATTTTGAGAACCGCCGGCAGATATTGCCAACTACATCCAATTACTCGGATCAAGCCCGGATTTCAGTTAATTGGACGCACTGTGTTGCCATATGGACAAGAAAGTATATGTTTAAAAGTAAGTCATAAAATCACAACACCTTAGGAGTTTGCAGAGATGCATTACATTTTTAAAATTGTGATATTATTACATAAAATAAATTAAAAGTTAAATGTTTAAAAGTTAAATGTTTAAAAGTTAAATGTTTAAAAGTTAAATGTTTAAAAGTTATAAAAGTTAAATTAAAGAACTTACCCAACATTAAAAAAGATACTTATGACAGACGATGTAACTGCGACAGTTCTCTTTTTCGATACACACTTAACTAAAATACACTTCATTGTGCTGCTGTACTTGTACATGCTATTATAAAAACTGCTAAAATAACAGTCCCCATTTTTAACTTAGCACATTATTTTCATATAGGCTTTATCACAATTTGAACCACTGATTTACAAAACACCTTGAAAAGCTACTACCTTTCTGAATGAATAAATGATGAGAATTATTGTCTCTTACCGCCACTTTACGAACTACTTTCAATCTAAGAAAATACATGATTCACTCAACAACTTTAAATACGTATTTTGTTTTTTCGCTATTTTTTTCGATGCATTTCGACAATTCCGTCGACAGCCCAACCGTCGGCCAAGACAATCGCGCATCACTGGTTGGTAACTGCTCACTGCTCCTTTGTCGCGCCGGCGTGTCGAGCTTGCGTCATGCGAGGTTGCCGTAGTTTCAACAATTTCAAATTCAAGACACTCGAAGCAATCAAATTCTTATTCAATTTTAAAAATGACAAATGATTTGATTATTGATAAGGTCACAAAAAAGAAATTTCTAAAATGTTTATCTTAATTCAGAATTCAATATATCGAAAACAGCCCGACGAATAATCAATTCATTTTTGTTTGGTTTGTTTCCTTTCATGTTTCTCTGTTTTATTTTTAAAATTTAATTAAAATTGCTTAACATCATCGTCTGACGCAAGCCCGCCACGACGGCGCGGCTCAAAGGACCAGTTCACACGTGGCACTCTTGGCCGACGCGCGACGGTTGGTCTGTCGAAATACATCGAAAAAATAGCGAAAAAACAAAATACGTATTTAAAATTGTTGAGTGAAACATGTATTTTCTTAGATTGAAAGTAGTTCGTAAAGTGGCGATAAGAGACGGTATTCAAAGTAATGTGCGCTTTTCAAGGTGTTTTGTAAATCAGTGGTTGAAATAAAACAGAGAAACATGAAAGAAAACAAACAAAACAGAAATTAATCGATTATTCGTTGGGCTGTTTTCGATATATTGAATTCTAAATTACGATAAACATTTTAGAAATTTCTTTTTTGTGACCTGGTTGTGAATAATATGATGAATCATTTTCGTAAACGTCATAAACGTAATGTTTCAGCCTTTTAGTTAATTTTCGGTGGTTTTTGTTAAGTTTGCATTGAAAGGGTAAGTACTAAAAATAATTAATGTTTTTTTTTTCTATAATAATTATTAATAATGAGCACTGATAAAAGATTAAATTTAACATTCCTAATTTTTGAGTAGAAATTTGTCTATGAATTTATAAATGTAGAACTATGTAGAATTTGGATAACATAGGAGGTTGCAACACTGCAAGGTTTAGATACACCGTAGAGAAATCTCAGGTGAATATACAAGTGGCACTAAAAAGTTTTTTCAAATTTCCCGGAAAATGTCAAGCAAAATTTTAAAATTTCAACATCTTTTTTTCACAAAAAAAACCTCATAGGCGTGTTTCTGGGGTTGAACTATACTACCAGTTAAAATATTTGCACTTATTTCTGGGACACCCTGTATATTTCGATACCCTCTTTGTAGTTTGGCCCATTGCACAGTGGTTCTCCTTAATTATTTGCGCGGTCATAACTGTTAGATATCTATATATATATATATATCTTTTTTAATATAAATTGATAACAAATGCTAAATAAATATATATAAAAAACTTAAGAAGAAAGAATTTATTGGGCAAATCCACAGTAAGATTAGTCATGAGACATGACTAAAACATGACTACCCGTAGACACTCAGTGTTTCTGCCTGCCGGCTTCATCAATACGGGAGGAATCAGCAACGATGAACTAGCGATCCTGAAAAAAGAAAGGAAGCAAACGAGGCACAAGGCGCCATTTGCAGCCTGGTTCTTTTTTCAGGATCGCTAGTTCATCGTTGCTGATTCCTCCCGTATTGATGAAGCCGGAAGGCAGAAACACTGAGTGTCTACGGGTAGTCATGTTTTAGTCATGTCTCATGACTAATCTTACTGTAGACTTGCCCAATAAATTCTTTCTTCTTTTTATTGTAGTCTCCACGATAACATCTTTTGTTTATTGTTTTCTCTGGGCCAAGGTGATAGCGGCGAGGTGTGTTGGAACGCCTCCGCAGCGGTTTTTCGGTAGTAACGCTTCGAATTATAAGCTACTGCCTAACCAGGCTGCAAATGGCACTGTGTACTCTATATATGGTAGTCTGTATAGCTTGTGGAAGTTGCAGTATATTACAACAACATTTGAAGGTAAATACCATGAAGTAAAATTGGAAATGTAAACACATAACTTTGCCTAAAACTTTGCTACAAAGGAAAGTTATAAACTGTGGTATGAAAAACAGAATTTATTTATATATTTTGTTTTTGGTCTTACTTAAGTAAATATGTATTGAGTGTTGGTTAAGGGTTTTATATTTATTTTGTACCACTTACTACTAACCTGTACAATGTGGTATTGTTTATTGTTAAAATTATTGTATTGTATTGTTGTAATTATTGTATTTTCTTGACACAGAACAGCTATAAGTTTCTTGCAGTTTCTTCTCATAAGCCGTAATCGAAACTGCAACATTCTAATAAAATTAGAACTATAAATTTGTTTTTTTTTAATTTCTAATATGTTACAGTAATTAAGCTAACAAATTTTCCCAAAACGTTTATTTCCCCATATAAATGTGATTCAATTTAAGAACTGATATTTTAGCTCTCTCCAAGTAAAGCTATGGTTCTCACTTATGCATCAAATTAGATAGTGATAATGCAATCTGCAAATGAAACAATTTTTAATTTACATCAATAATCAATGCAACTTTAACTAAAATCACTTGATGTAGGCAATATAGGTATATTACCAAATATCAGCCAAATACATTAACCACCTTCCTTCTTTAAAATGAGCAAATAATGACAAATTACATTTCGTAACTTTAATGATATTTGTATGTTTTAAAGATATATGAATGCAGATCAGTTTTTAAATATAGCCATATTTCTAAAAATAGTCAAAAACTATAAAAAACAAAATTAACAACCAAAACAGTCAACTACTGTTAGCAATTTCGCATAATAAAATTATTGTCTGTGATTTTATTGTTCGATTCTCAATTATTCATAATGTTCAAAATTCCCGCAAAGCGCTTCTCGCCGAACAAAACCGAACTCTCCGTGTAGGATCCGAATGCTTCCGAGGTTTTCGTGAGTTTTAGTGTCGTCTGTAGGACTATTGGCAATTAAGACTATGTCGTCAACGAATCAGATGGTTAAGATATTCTGCATCTATTTTTAATATTTTTTTAATCCTTTTGAATTTAGTATATTTGTCATATTTTACAATACGTCTGTTCTCAGAAGAATCCCTGACTAGTCAGCACGTTTTTCATTGGTTAAAATGCGTAGAAACCTGATTGTTAGTCTGGTTTCTACACATTTCAACCAGTAAGAAACGCGCTGACTAGTCAGGGATTCTTCTGTGAACAGACCTAATGACACAAATGTTACATTTATTAATCTTTCGGCATATTTGTGGTATAGTATTTCTGAAGTCAATTGGAAGTACTGAGACTCTTAATTCCTTTGTCCCGACAATGCACACAAAGGCGCCGGCAAAAAAGTTAGATGAATATCCATTTTCATTGTATATTATTATTCAAAATCCCTATAGTATTTCATGGTAACAACCTATGAAAGTTAGAGGGAATAATTATGGCATCTTAATTCCCATTAGTAATGTCCCAAGGGAGTTATAACTTTATTTATGGTTATCGTAACCAAAACGAAATAAGCTTACAGAAATAAGATAATATATTGATACCTAAAATTTTATAATGCTATACTTTCAAATGAATTAGTTACTCTTAAATAAGAAATATTGCATGGTATAATATACGAGGTGAGTCAAAACCAATCATCTAAAAATTATAATCTCCATTCTTTATATTCAATCCACACTGATATTTCTAAAGTTTCCATAAAATCCTAAAATTTCATCGTTTTCCAGCTTCTCAGGTCTCAAATCCTCATCAACTTTCATACCTTGAATTTTATCAAACCTATCCTTGTATTTTTCGAAAGTCTTTAGTAGCACATCTGTAATACATAAATAGTTTTTATACAGCATGATTTGAAACTGTGTGAAATGTATTTCTTTAAAATTTCAACCTTTTTTGGAGAACTTACCATTTAGTTCAGCTAATGAAGGTTCATCTCCTCCTATATCTTTAGGCATATGTGATTTTCCAAACACTTCCAATAGAATGTCAGTCCCAGCATGAACATAAAACTAGAATAACTTAAATCAATTATGAATATTTTAATATGGCTTATTAAAGGCTGGCTATTTTTGCTCTACCCCTATATCTGTGGTATTTTATAAAATCCCTTGCTATAAAGGTCATCTCTTTTGTTAATGATGCGTAGGATTACTGTTGAGTTTATATCCTTTTGTTTTTTGTTATATTTTTACTGATAATATAATTATGATTGTTATTTAATTTTAAAAAGTTTTGGAACAGAATATTTTAAGGATCAGTATCTATTTTTAATTAGTAGCAATAAAGTATTCATCTTGTAAATTGCTACATATAAAGTACTACGTCTACTGAATCTGTGTCTAAGAAAAGAATTTTAAGAATGCGGACAAAATACATTTAAATAAACAGCAATATATTCTATAAATCGCTACCTCTACAGGGTGAGTTTCCTACGAAGTTCTCTATGGGTATCTCGCAAACTACTGGAGATAGAGAGTCGGTTAAATGGGGAAAGAATTGCAGTTTTGTGGAATCATAAATATGCACCTTTCAGATTTTTGAAAAAAATCATGGCTTACTAGATATTTCGAAAAAAACAATTTTGGCTATTTTAAAAATTGTCCCTAATTCTATTACAATCTATTTTAGACAAAAAGTTTTCAGATAAAAGTTGTATACAGGGTGTTTGAAAACAAATGCGAAAAACTTCAGGGGGTGATTCCTTGTTCAAAATAAAGGGTAGTTTGCTTCATAAACGTTGGGTTAAAAGTCAACCATTAGGGAGATATCGCGGTACAAAGATGGCGGAAAAATAATGTTTTTATTTTTTATCTTGAAAACGAAAAGAGATAGACTAATGAAATTTTATGGAAGCATTACTGTTATGAAAACACTCTTTCTGGTAATTTTTTTCACTTTTTAAAATGAGTGGAAGGGGTTGAAATAAACTACCCCTATCATTCTTGTTAACGAAATTTAAAGAAAAATCTTATCAAACACACGCAAAAAAATTAATTTGGATAGTTTAGTTTGTTTAGAAACTTTTTTATCTCTTGTGTTTTTTTAATAAAACTCACCGATTTGAAATTAAAAAATAAAATGTAAAGCATTACATGTCAGGACAAAAAACATTTTTAGATTAAGAATCTAGATTTTTCTTTAAATTTCGTTAACAATAATGATAGGGGTAGTTTATTTCAACCCCTCCCACTCATTTTAAAAAAGTGAAAAAATTACCAGAAAGTGTGTTTTCATAACAGTAATGCTTCCATAAAATTTCATTAGTCTATCTCTTTTCGTTTTCAAGATAAAAAATAAAAACATTATTTTTCCGCCATTTTTGTACCGCGATATCTCCCTAATGGTTGACTTTTGACCCAACGTTTATAAACTTCCCTTTACTTTGAACAGGGAATCACCCCCTGAAGTTTTTCGCATTTGTTTTGAAACACCCTGTATAATCACATCCCTAATGGGTTTGTGTTCTCCGATTTTTTCTAAAGCCTGTAATTTTTTAAATGGAAACCATAGTTGGCCATGACTTCATAAAAAGCCATTTTTTAAGCTTTCCAGCGATATAAGCTATAATACGTTTTTTTCGAAAAATTATAACCAATTCGTATAATTTTTAAACAATTTCACTCAGTTAGCCATGGAAAGATAAATGTCGTTGCTCTCAGAAATATGAAACTGTCACTTCCAAACTTTGTAAATTAACATAAACAAAAACTGTAAATATGAATTTTTCAAATGAAGAAAAGCGTGGAGGATTATTGGTTCACCTTTTATTGGTCATACATTTTCTAGGATACGTTGACCGGTCAACGTTACTTACGTTTTTTTAGAAAACGGTTTTCAAGACATGTTAGAAAAGTTCAATTTAGATACATCAATAGAGTGGTTCCAACATGACTTTTATTAGGATACCACCCCCCCTCCACCCATAATAAAAAAAAATGTTAAAAATTCATAATTATGCAAACTCAGGGATAGGAAGAGGTGGACCAATCATCCATTTATCCAATCACTGACCTCACCACCTTACCTATCCATTTTATTTTTTTTTATGCGGTATGGTTTACAACAAGGTTTACAAGAGGTTTTAACAAGAGGCAGTACGGGAGAAGTTTAATTAAGTCGACCGGTCGTTCTGTAGTATAATTCAGTTTTAAAAAGATACCTTTATGTACCCAAAACAATGGCGGGTTTTTTGAACATTTTCTAAAATAACTTAAAGTGTATGTACTTAGTAATATTAAATTAAATCTTAGTATGTGTAATGTAAATTGTAAAGAACCGTTTAATAATATATTCTCTCTTTTTATAAGTTATAAGTCATAAGAAAATAAGAATACCATGCCAACTAAGTGAAATTAGTCAGGAAAGATAAGAATTATTGGCTATAACTGTAATTTTTCAATAAAAACATATTATTGGTTATATCGCTGAAAAGCTTAAAAAATGGCGATTTTTATGAAGTCATGGCCAACTATGGTTTCCATTTAAAATAACATATGTTTGTGTCATATGTCAAAAATGATAGACTTTAGAGAAAATTACAGAACACAAACTCATTAGGGATGCGATTATCTAACTAACTTTAACTTTTATCTGAAAACTTTTTGTCTAAAATAGGTTATAATGGAATTAGGGGCAATTTTTAAAATAGCCAAAATTTGTTTTTTTTCAAAATATCTAGTAAGCCATGAACTATTTCAAAAATCTTAAAGGCGCATATTTACGATCCCAGAAAACTGCAATTCTTTCCCCATTTAACCAACTTTTTATCTCCAGTAGTTTCCGAGAAATTATAAAAGGAAATTGGACGCGATTAGAAGAGCAATGAGAATTTCACGGAGGGATAAGATCAGAAATGAAGACATTAGACAACAGATGGGAATAGAGGGAACAATAGTAAATGATATAGAACAAAAACAATTAATATGGTACGGCCACGTTCAGAGAATGCACAATGAAAAAATTCCAAAATAAGTCATTCATTGGATACCACCTGGTAAACGAAAGAGAGGACGTCCCAAGAAAACATGGATGGAAGGAATAAGAAGGTCGATGAGCGAGAAAAATCTGACCGAAGATCAATGGGAAAATCGCACAGGGTGGAAGTTAGGCATCGGACAACGTCGTAGGACGTTCTGACCCGAATTTATATATATATAGTTTCCGAGATAGCCATAGAGAACATCGTAGGAAACTCACCCTGTATAGAAGCGGCAGAGAGTCCACGTGGACTTAATAAGTATCTCACCGCAAAACACTCCGCCCGCTTATTCCAATGGCTACTTGCAAATTTGTCGAATTTTTATTGATGGGACACGTCGTCTAATTTTTTTTACGAGAAACATCGATTAAACGGTAGCAAAGAAGCCGGAGAGAACATCAGTGCAGTCGTACCTAAAAAAAAATCCCTGTATATTTTAAATCTAAATTTCCCTGTATATTTTAGAGAAATTTTTAGAACCGCGCAAACTCTTCCACGGTATATTTTCTTAATTTCGCATATTACCATGGTTACGACTTTACTCTATGGTTACGGAAAAAAGGGACGCATATACAGATTTTTTTTTTAATTTTTAAACTTGAATAACTCGGTTATTTTGGACTTTATTTGAAAAACGGCAAAGAGAAAATATGTTTCTTTTATCGAGATCAAGTATTTGCACTTATTTAAGACTCACCCTATACACAAAACTATGATCAAATTACTGTAAATGTTTGCCTGTATATGTTAGGTCAAAAACAAATCCTTGTATATTTTTTAATCTATTTTTATATATGTTTTTGAGAATAAATATTAACTTAACTATCACTTTAATTTTTTCCTAGAAAGATCAGTTCAAAAATTAATTGCTACATAATGTAATTAAACTCATTATCTATTAAATTTATTTTATAATTTGTCCTATTACGTTGACTAAAATTATGAGAAAAAAAAACGATGTTGTAGTAATTTATCATTATTTTTAGTTCCTCTTTTTAAACCATATAACATTTATTTAATATTATTAAAAAAAAACATTATTACCAATTTGAGAAATAAGTAAAACTGAAATGTATAACTTACCCGTTCTCTAAGTTTTGGTATTAAAAACGGTTTGAAAAAATGATTCACTATATGCTCCATGTACGGATGAAAATTCACTACGTAGATAGATGCCATACGATTCGAGAACACTTTCTAAAAATACAAACGAATAAATAATTGTTTATCTTACATTAAGTTATTTTTTTGTCAGAAAATTATGGCGACATTAACGATGATTTTACCATTGATATCCCACTAAGACTTAAAGCCAAGTCTACACGTAACCTTTTAGCTGTCACTTTTGCGTGTCAGTTAAGACGGTAAAAAATATCTACTCAGGTATTGATACTTATTATCTTATTATTTATACTTATCTTATCTTATTATTATTGATACTTATTACTACTATTGATCAATACGTCCCGAGATATTAGTCTTAGCTATACCCAGAACTTATAATTCTAGTTTTTTTTAACAAAATGGCAGCAACACAAAAATTACAACAATTACATTCCTTTTTTTCACACCCTGTATATCATAGAAAACTAAATCTCATACAAAATTTAGAAAAATCAGATCAATCTACGAAAAACGATCTTTAACATGCTAAAAAAATCAACAAAATCGGTCCATCTATTTTAAAGTCACAACTTGTTGAAAATGAGTAAAAAAATCGCTGTGGTATTTAATTTGACGGGCAGTTATCTTCTCGAAAAATTCTCTTTTAAAAATAAGCGGTTTGCGATCGTGATTTTACTTTACTTGATAGGAAAAGGCGTACTGGCGAAATATGGCAACGCCGCAACAGCACACCGTCGCATTTCTCTCACTCCGACTTAATAAGATCCCTATGCGATTTATTTCCACACATGTAAACACCGTCTCAAAAGTAGTAGAGTTGCCAGCACGGTATAATTTTTTAACCTAATTAAAAAAATAATCGTTTTACTCACATCAAGTAGGAAGCCTACTTTCTTCATAACCACTAGACTGAATCGTGGTACATGTCCTAATGTTAAACCGTTGCAATCATAGATGAAGTGATAATTGCAACAATCGTCTGTATGGAATATCAGTTCTGCCACATGCAATATATGTATAAGGAACTTCTCTGGATAGAAATATTCCGCTCCAAATTCTGGATTATGTTGGCAATACACGATCCTTTTATAGCCTGGACCAGGTTTGGGCATTGGTATTGCATAACTAAAAATAAAATAGTATAAAAATCATCTTAAGGCTCCCCCACACATACTTTTTCTCACAGTGACCTCATCTGGGTTATTTTGCAGGCATTACCAAAATCAGATCAAATAAAATTTTAGTCACATGATTAAGCTTGACTGGCACAGCATTGCCCACTTTTACATGTTTTCTTTTAATCAAAATATTTTAGGAAACAAATATATACCGATACCGAAAATGTAAGATCTCGTCCTAGGTTGACCTTAGACCTAGGTACAAGGGTAACGACTGAATCACAGGATCGCTACTTAGCTCAATTTGCCAAAAAAATCGGTCAGTTCCAATTCGAGAGCTACGATCTCAGTTAAAACGAACTTACCACTGACCGAGTAATATTAAGCCGAACCATTTCCAGGCGACTTTTAAATGTTGGATTGTGGCGTAGACGTCCACTGCGAGTCCCTCTATTAACTTTATACCGTAGGCAAAGGAGGCTACAGTGAGCTAGAGAACACCAGAACTGGTTATTACCTCAGTGGAGAAACGTAATTTTCACTGACGAAACCAGGATAGGTTTGATAAGTGGTGCCTATCGTCAGCGAGTGTGGAGGGATGCAGGGAGGCAGCATCGCTTGAATAAAGTGCTCCTTATCAAGGAGAAACTGAAATGTGCTGAGGTGGCATCATGTACTATAGGCGAACAGAGCTCATTCATATTCATGAGGTGATGAACGCCCATTTGTATGTGTAAACTGTAATCAGACCAAGAATGTATCCACTGCGAGAAGAAATCTGCAATAATTTTATTCCCATGGATGATAACGCTCGTCCTCACAGAGCTAGAATGGTCCAGGAAGCATTAAATGAAGGGGAAATAACTCGTCTGGACTGGCCTCCACTCTCCCCCGATATGAATTTCATTGAAAATGTCTGGGACTACATCACCAGAGCTGTATTCGCAGAAATAACCCACCAAGAAATCGCCAGGAGTTGATCATTGCCGCTCAAAAATTATGGCAGAACTTACCTCAAGAAACCATAAACAACCTTATAGTGGGGATGCCCCGACGACTTACGATGCACTCATAACAAATCGAGGAGGCTATATTTTATATTAGTAACCTTAATTTTGTCAGAATTTATTATTTATTTATTTATATTCTCTTTTTTGTCAAACATTTTTCTTTACGGAATTTGTATGTTTTTGTATTTTGGCAAAATATATTATTAAACTTGGTGAAAGTTTTCCCTTTTTTGTGTTATTTTTTAACATAACTTTAGTATCTATTGATTTCCACGAAAGATTAGTTTGAAATGTAATTTTTTATTAAAATAGTAAGGGGGTTTTTGCCGATGAGTGTATATAAACAGTTATTATTTACATCAACATAACTCATCTCTTTAAAAACACTTAAGGGACATTACTACTGCTTTCCAATTTTGTGTACTCACTTTACTCTGCTTTCCTTTATGAACTCTGGTGATAGTGGATGTTTTGAGAAGATTTCTGGCATGAGGTTGCGTACGCTGTAATACATGTCCAGTTTTTCCTTAGACCTCTCGATACTGAACTTGTTGGAGAGTAACACATAGCGCAGAATATATCGGTCTAAAACAATACCGGGCGTTTTTCAAAAGTGATTCTCACCCCTATAACTTTTTATTTATTTTTTAAGTTAAAAAAACGAAGTTTGGTATTTTAGTACATGACATAAACCAGGATTGATTGAAGTTCGAATTTCGGTCACTTCCTGTTTCACCGGAAATTATTTCAATTTTTGATTTTCAAATGGTATCCTCGGTATTTTTTACTATATTTGATAGAAAATGACAATCTGAATAGAATTACATATCATATATCAACTTTTTACATTTTCACTTAAATAATATTGCTTTAAACATCAATCTAGAGTGTCATGGCCTTGTTAAAACTACTAATTTTTAATCAAGAAACCTTGGAAATATAGATTTTGTCGTCTAATGTTTTTTATGTCTTTTCGCAGCAAATTAAAAGATACCCAAACCGTATTTTTAATAATAACGCAATTTTTTTCAAATGGAACATCATTAGCATATTTGGAAAAAAACTTTTTTAACGAATAATTTGGTACACACTTGAGATTGTCATTTTCTATCAAATGAAGTAAAAAAAATACCGAGGGTATCATTTAGAAATCAAATGTTGTAGTAATTTCTGGTGTAACAAGAAGTGACCGAAACTAATTAGAGTGAGCCGCTTTTGAAAAACACTCAGTATATTATTTTATAGTTACTTAATAAACTTTTTAACTAAATTTTTTCTCATATTTCATAATCTGTTTAAAAGAAATCTATGGGTAAGTATTTTCCAAATTTGCCTCAGTTTACTTCATTTTTTATTCTTGATTAAGTTGATTTAATTTAGATCAATATTTTTTAGTATATATACCGGGTGCATCTCAAAAATGGCTCATCCCCTATAACTTTTTTATTTTTTCAGTTAAAAAAACGAGATTTGGTATGTTAGTATATGACATAAATTGGGATTGATTGACGTATTCAGTTGTTTTCGGTCACTTCCTGTTTCACCGGAAATGACTATAACTTTAGATTTTTAAATGGCACTCTCGGTATTTTTTTACTTTATTCGATAGAAGATAACACTCTGAACAGAACGACATACCTAATATGTCAACTTTTGACATTTTCGCATATGGTTTATTTGAAATTATGACTTGTTGCGGTTTGTAATGAAAATTTGACTCGAAATACCAAGTGTAAGGTATCAAATTATTCGTAAAAAAATGTTTTTTTCAAATATGCTAATGAGCCACCCTCGTTTCATTTGAAAAAATTAAGATATGATTAAAAATACGATTTAAGCATTTTCTAACTGGCTAGGATAAAATAATAAAAACATTAGACGATCAAATCTATTTTTCCTTGACTCCTTGATTAAGAATTAGTGTTTTTAACATAGCCATGGCACTCTAGATTGAATTTTAAAATAGTTCTTTTTATCAAGCGAGAAAGTCAAAAATTGACATATGATTTGTCGTTCTATTCATAGAATATAATTTTCTATCGAATAAAATAAAAAAATACCGAAGGTGCCATTTAAAAATCAAAAGTTGTAGTAATTTCCGGTGAAACAGGAAGTGACCAAAAACAATTGAATACGCCAATCAATCCTAATTTATGTCATATACAGACATACCAAATCTCGTTTTTTTATCTGAAAAAATAAAAAAGTTATAGGGGTGAGCCACTTTTGAGACGCACCCGGTATAGTATCTAAATTACCTGGTTTTTCTGGAAAATGTTTTTGAGTATCTGCCCATTCGCTCAAAATGTCCAGGCACTGTTCGTATTCCTTTTCAGACTTATTATGTTCCAATCGCATCTGTTCAAAAAACTGTCTTTATTCGTTACTGAACACCAGCCATCTTACTAAAAGTTTATTTGCTTTACTTCAATGTATAGCGATTAAATATTATTTGTAAATTATTAAAATAAATTATAAAACATGTAAAAACCTTATAAGTTGTCGGAAATCATCAAGGAAAACCACTAAGTTTGTAATTAGTCTCAATTTACTTATACTTAACAAACAAATTATATACATCTAATTACACATTTAACAGATTTAAATATGAACTACTATACGTTTTTTTTTTTAATTTTTATCGGTCTGGTTTTATAGTTATTTTATAGCAAATAAATTTAAAAAAAATATACTCATTTTTTTTAAATTTTAGTGCAAATATATTTATACAGTATGTCCCCGGATACCACTGCACATTGTCGTCGGTAGTTATGCCAATGCGATAATGATTAGAATGGTCATTGACGGAAACAGTATATACAGGGAGAATTTTCAGGTCAGGGGCTTGGAACACCCTCAAAAAGAAAATTCCACTTCTCCAACTCCCAGTGGATGACATACCAAGAATTTACAACTTTGAGAAACACCTCACTGTAGTATTGAGTAATAAAAATGATTGGAAGAAAGAAAGACTTACTCAGTATATAAAATACCATACCATAACGTCGTATACTGATGCTTCCAAAACCAAAGCAGGGACAGGGATAGGAGTATTTGGGCCGAAAACTAAATACTCGGAACCAATAGATACCTACCCCAGTATCCTTCAGGCAGAAATTTACGCTATCGAAAGATGCGTACAATTTATCTTAGATAGGAACTATCGAAAACAGCAAATTGCCATTCTATCCGATAGTCAAGCAGCACTTAACGCGATCAACTCAATAATCATCAATTCGAAGTTGGTCAATGAATGCCTAGAGAAGCTCAACAAATTAGGCAAAGAAAATAAAGTCCTCCTACTCTGGGTGCCTGCTCACCAAGGGATAGAAAGCAATGAAAAAGCAAATGATCTAGCTAGGAAAGGAGCGAACACTCCCACTAACTGGACCAGAAAAAAAAACGTTCAGTTTTCCAAACCAGAACCAACTGAAAGCGGAACTGAAGAATCTGGAAGACTCCATCCGTAACTTGGAATGAGTGTGAACGGTCTAAGACACTGGAAAAAGTTCTTCAGAACTTACGACCGAGAAAAATAAAAGGTTTTCCTTGATTTAAGTAAAAACAATCTTTGGATTGTCACGGGGTTTCTAACAGGACACTGTCTCCTCAACGAACACCTCAGTAGGCTGAAGCTGAGAAATAACGGCAAATGCAGATTCTATGGGGAAAATGGGGAAACACCAGAACACTTTATTGCTGAGTGCGCCGAGACGACGACCATTCGTGCCATGAACCCGTGGTCTAAAAGGAATTTTTAAGAATGTCAATTATAAACTTGTGTATAGTGCTAATAATAAATTACAACAATTATTAGGTAATCCAAAGGATAAAACACCTCCACTGGAAAGGTCGGGTGTTTATGAAATTTCTTGTAAAGATTGTAATCAGAATCTGTTAGGCAAACTGGAAGATTAATATTAACTAGATTTAAAGAACATTTAGCTCAGATAAGATATGGTAGACCGGATAAATCTTGCGTTGCCGAACATGTTGTTGATAAAGAACATTGTATAGATCTTAATAATTTAAAATTAATTAAACAAGTTTCAAATTACAGGCAATTAGATGCATATGAAAGCATCATAATTAATAAATGTAAAGATAGTATGAACAGAGACAACGGTCCAATTCCTTCAAGTTCTTTGTTCCTACTACTCTAGTGGCGGAAATAACTGTTACGCTCAGTGGGCTCTGACTCGGTTGGCTAGATTTTGCCACGCCCACTCGGTGCCTACTGGGCGAGTATAAACGCTCAACTTATAGATTGTACTTTAGTTTATAACCATCTGCTGATGATGCTAACATGGTTAGCGAAACGCGCGTCCAGTGTAAAAGTAAAAGTGTTTTGGTGTATTGTGGTGATTTAGTGTTTTTATTTTGCTGTGTAACATCAAAGGTTCCAACCCTCAAATGGAATATTTTTTGTTTAGAATTTATCCCTTTATTGATTTTTGCAATTAAAATGGGTGATTTATTTTTCACCCCCGAGAAGGGATGACACTCACTCCCAAGGTGAATGTAACTTTTGTTTCCTACATACATTATGTCTATTCACTGTTAAAATTTCACATCAATCGGTGCGGGTGTCAAGAATTCGGAGGTAATACCCTATTTTATCCTCGCTTACTGGCCTATATACCGTTTATACTTTTTCAAATTTTTAAAAGTCTTTAAACTCATATTTACTAATAGAAACGAACTAATATTACCATAGAAACGCCATAATTCAACCATATTTTTATATTTTTCTCTAAAACGGCAAGGAAATTTTAAAACGTATAAAAGAAATTAACCATTTTAGAGCAAGAAAAAAACTTTTATGAAAAACTAAAATTACCAAATTACTTAAAGAGTTAATTAGAAGAAAGGTTTTCCATTTGTAAAGACAATCTGAGGACATACTGTATATTATGCTCAACTCAATAACTCTGCTATCCGAGTATTGCATCAGAATTAATGCTAAGGCATGTAAAGGTAATGCAGCAATGTCATATTAAAAATTTATATGTCAATTTAGCATGCCTCGCTTAGCTTCAATAAGCATCGTGATCTGTTTATTAAAGCTATGTCGGATGCTTTTAGGTTTTACATTGTTAATTTGAGGTACTATTAAAATTAAACCATCTTAATTATGTTTTTATCGAGTCTATTTGTATTAAACGAGGTTTTCTAAAGAATAAAAATTGGTGTATATTATTTAAAACTAGATTTATTAATACACTCACCGCCACGAAAAACGGGCACCTTAAAATTTTGATATATATTAAGTTTATTAAAATTTTGATATATATATATATATATTTTGTTCTAGTTTGCCGATTTTGATGATTTTTTTAGTAATTTGTAGCTAAATTATTTGACTTTTTAGTGTCTTTTTCTAAATTAAAAATGAAAGTTTCCATCTGTCAATTATACGAGGAAATACAAAATGTTGATATTTTGGTGAAAGTTTGAAACAACCTGTGGAATATGTTAACCAAGCAAGGGATTTAACAATAATTTTATTATCTAGGCACGTCTTTTCTCGATAGTCTTTTTTTTATTCATCTCAATAGGTTTATTTTTGTTGGAGATAATCGCTTTTGAATAAGACAGTAACAAGTTATAGCAGAAGGGGCGTTTGATAACACCTCATTTCAGTCACTGACGAAAGCTACAAGGAACCTCGGATTAGAGGAGACCTGCTGCAGGTGGATAGACTGCATGCTCAAAAGTCGAGTGGCATATACCATTCTACTAAATGAGACTGTTGCAGTCCGCGTGGCGGAGGATGCTCGCAGGGTGGAGTTCTCTCCCCTCTACTGTGGAATCTCGTTATGGACGGACTGCTTGATAGTCTCAACAGGGCTGGTTTCAGCACTATGGGATATGCAGATGATTTGGTCGTGTTAGTCAGAGATAAGTTTAACACAACAGTAAGGGAGCGAATGCACGAAGAATTGTGGAGGGACTAGGACCTCCAAGACTCTGCGGTGATGAGATTCCTCTCTCGGGGGAGGTCAAGTATCTAGGAATCATGCTGGATACCAAACTGACCTGGAACCGACATTTGGAAAATGTCACAAGGAGAGCGGTGACTACACTAGCGGTAGTCAGACGACTTCATGGAAACATCTGGGGCCTCAGACCACAGATGGTGCACTGGCTGTACACAGGAGTGGTGAGGCCTTCAGTAACATATGCATATTTGGTATGGTGGCCTAAGGTAATGCAACTGTTTGCAATATGCATCCTTGCAATGCATCCTTGCAATACATATGCATCCTTGCAATGGTGGCCTAAGGTAATGCAACATATTGCTTGTCTGAGCATAACAGGGGCAATGAAATCAACGCCCACTGCATCAATGGAGGCGCTTCTGGACCTTCAACCTCTTCACATAGTGATCCAGGCAGAGGCAAGAATGGGACTCTATCGACAACAAAGGTTTGTCCTTGGAAGGTTTGTCCTTGATGCTATCTTAAATAGCATCATTTTTTTATTTGAAATTGCTGTAGGTTGGACTAATAGTAATAATATTTAATGATAAATTAGGTAAAATATATAATTTATTATTTTTATTTTAATTTTATTAATCGTGATTAATAAAATTGCATTTATCTCATCAAAGAGGGCGAATTCAACAAAATATCAAGAGATAACCCAAGTAGCATTTTCACGACTTGCGATCACATGTTTACTAAACACAACGTTGGATTAGTTGCAAAAAATAGTTAGCTCCCCACCTTGGGTATTAAAATAAATTTAAACGTTTTTATAACGTTGTGCCGACGTTGGACTAGTACTACAGCAAAGTAGAAGCTTCTGCGACGTCAAATAAACGTGTCTTGTAACCTTTTTTGCTTAAGTGATCTTTAGGTGATTCGGAGAACGTAGTTACAACGTTGGACAATATAGAGTTTTCCAACGTCAGTTTCAGGACCTATTCCAACGTTATGCAAACGTCGTCTGTTTTACTAATTCCAACGTTGTTTAGATTTCCTTATTCTTACGTTCGTAGGACGTCGAGTCACTACCTTTTTACAACTGTATTGAACCATAAGCTTAAATCTTAAATTTTCACTTCATTGTTCTGTTCAGTCAGACAGTTCAGTGCTGTTTTTGTTTTTATAAAAAAAAACTTAATTAAAATGGGACATAAGAAAGGTACATATAAAACTAAATTTAAATATACATCGACATATATTACCGATAGTTTATCCACTCCCTCGTTTATTTAGATTATAGAGGGCGGCACAAGCTAGACTCTAGGATAACTAAATTAAGGTGTACGCGCACTGAATCGGTACCAGTCCGGCGAGAAACGGCGAGGGCGGTGACTCGACTATCGTAGATAGGTAGAGGTAGGAATCTGGCCTCTAC